ACTGTAGTGAAGTCCAGGAGGGTGGGACAGACCTGTCCGGCCTCTGGGAATCTCCCAAACCCCAGAACTCACTCACCCACCATGCGCACCTGGTCCTTTAAATGCGGGAAACTCCACCTAACCAGATTCAGAGGCACCGGCCCCGCTGCCTTCTCTTCAGACTCTTTGCATTTCAGTGAAGAGCCTGGAAGAAACCCAGGGGCCTCCTATGCACAGATCTTGCAGCCCAGAACCAAGTCAGCCTCCTGCGACTGCCTAGGCACACTGCCCACCACCCCACCCCCAAAACAATGCCAGCCCGCTGCTTTTCCTGTCCTCCCAGGCACCTTTGCAAAGACCAGGGGCAGCTCCTGAGGGAACTGTGAAGGCTCCCGTGCCACACAGCAAGAACTGCAGCCTCTGCGCCCAAGGCACACAGGGTACTTTCTGGAGCCATTGCTGGACAGACTTAAAGGTGTCATGCCTGGTGTGTGCAGGAGGAAACTAACAGTTCAATAAACTCCGCCTTGACCAGCAGCCTTTGACTGGGGCTTTGACTGCTAGGAAGAACTGTATGGGGGAGGCCACCAGCAGGGTCTGGGCCACTGTCTCTGGTCCTGCCTTATGCTTGAGCCATTGAATATCAGAGGTACGAGGGACAAGGGCCCTGAAACACCTCACCTGCTCCAGCCCCTTCACTTAGCAGATGGGGAAACTGAGGCCCTGGGGGCCAGTGAGCTGCTGTTGGCCCCATCTGGAACAAGGCAGTCCAGGGCAAACTTTGGCACTGCCTTCCCTAACGGAGCAGCCTGTGGCCTGGTAGTAGTGAGCGTTGCTTTCCCGACCAACGACATGGCGGCCTTCCCACAGGGACCCTGGGAGCAAATCACCCATAACTCAAGTTTCAAGTTTCAGAATCAGTCAGCTCAACAGATGACTTGATTGCTCCATTTCTCCCCAGATCAGTTCAGAAGCTACTGATAACCCTTGGGAGACTGCTTCTTTATTTTATTTATTTAAGATGGGGTTTTGCTCTCGTTGCCCAGGCTGGAGTGCAGTGATCTCAGCTCACCGCAACCTCTGCCTCCCAAGTTCAAGCGATTTTCCTGCCTCAGCCTCCTGAGTAGCTGGGACTACAGGCGCCCACCACCACGCCTGGCTAACTTTTTGTATTTTTACTAGAGACAGGGTTTCACCATGTTGGTCAGGCTGATCTCGAACTCCCGACCTCAGGCTATCCGCCCACCTCGGCCTCCCAAAGTGCTGGGATTACAGGCGTGAGCCACCGCGCCGGGCCTGGAGACCGCTTCTTATGAGAGAAGCCATGGGTCCCCGGAACAGGATTTCCATCATATGAAGGTGGACGATGAGAAAGTGTGGGACCCACGTGAGGGAGGGGCAAGTGCAGCCCCCGCAAGGCCGGCCACCATTAAATCGGGATTGGGGAAAACGGTGACAGTCTTTTCAGCAAGGTGAGAGGCCACCAGCCAGGCCAGTGTCACTGGATTTGAGGGAGGCCATTTGGCCCCTTCGTTGGAAAATACGCAGATGACTGGCCCCTTGACGGAGTCCCCTGATGGCAGCTCCTTAGGAGACAACACAGGACGTTCAGGCGGCGGCTACAATTCAGTGGCGGCCTGGAGGGGCTGTGCATGATGCTGGGTTTGTCTGTGGGTCTTTAGTTTTTTCTCCTTTCTTTTGTGTTTAATGGGGAAGCTTCCAGCCAAGACAGCGACCCCTCTCGGGGAAGGAGTTCAAGCTGAGACCTCCTCTTTCCAGCTGCTGCCCAGGACTGGGGTGCCCAGAGGGATAGCCCCTGGAGGTGCAGACCCCTGCTTTGTTGGTGCCGGGAGCATGCCGCCCTCTGAGCCGTGGTGGGCTCAGTGAAGTGGGCGTTGTCATCCTTCCCATTGCACAGGACTAGAGTCGGGTGCAGCGAGCTACAGTGGCTTGCTGAGGGCAAACAGTTAGTGAGGGGTGGAGCTGCAACTTGCAGGAAGGTCCAGCCCCGCCTCCCAGGCCCTTTCCAGCCCCTTCCACTTCCCACTCCTGCCTGGAATCCTCCCGTGGGGGAGGCATGTGGTGGCCCCTGTGGCTGACTGTCCGGCTGAGCTGGGGAACCGGTGTCCTCGCTCTAGAGATGAGCTCTTCTGAGGGGTGAGGTCCAGCCACACCTGTGGTGGGGTGGTGTAATCCCTGAGCCTGTTACCCCATCTATAAAATAGGGGGATTCACTTCTTTAACAGGCACTTCCTGGCCCTGCGGGGCGCCCTGTCCCCTGGCTGGAGCTGATGAGTTGTGATGCTTGCCTGGGGATCGGTGCTGCCCAGAAGTGAGGAATGACGTCCTTCCCCCCGGGTCCTTCTGGCAGCCTGGCCATTTCCAGCATGCTGAGGGGGGCCCGGGCCCTGGCAGGGACGGTGTGGAGCCACCGGCCACATGTGGGGCTGGAGTTCGGGGCTGGCAATGGGCTAAGGCCCTGTGTTCAGGAGATGTCATGGAACTGCCATGAAAAAAAGACTCAACACCCAGGGCCACAGCTCCGGGGCGCTCCCAGGCGTCTTTCCCCCCCAAGGCCCGGAGTGAGCAGCAGCCTGGGCCCAGCCACACCTCCCAGGCTCCGGAGCTGCCAGGTCAGGAAACCGTGAGGAGCAGCAGGGTAGGGGGCGGAGGGGAGGGCAGGGAGAGCAGGTCTCTCACCCATCCTTGCACCTTCCAGCTCTAGGGCCCACACAGTACCAAGCCCTGGGCTCAATGTACCACCTATGAAAACTCAATTCAAATTGGCTTAGTCCAACAAGAGATTTGGTAGCCTCACAAGACTTCAAAGTCCAGGCCTGGCTGGGTCTGGGGTCCCAATCGCTGTCACAGGAACCCCATTTCTTCCCATCGCAGCTACTTGGCAGGTGGCAGGATGCCCCCCAGCCACCGACTTCCCCCTGCCTGCTCAGCAACCCCAGGGCCTGCCGAAAAGGCCCAGGAGATTCAGACTGGCAAAGAGACCAGGGCAGACCAGGAACAGGGGCGCAGTCTCTGTCCCACCCAAACCCTAACCAGAGAGAAGACGACATGTTGTGTCGGACGGAGGACAGAGGTCAGCGAGTGTCCATGCCCTCATCGCTGACGAGGCTGGAACTGGGCCAAGTGAGGCAGAGGCCTTCACGTCAGATGTGAGCACCACTGGCCCAGGTGACTGCAGTTCTTCCCTCCTTCCGTTCAGCTTGAGCCCTCTGGAGGATCGGAAAGGCTGAGGCCTGACTTGGTGCCGCTGTCCTGGGTGGGCCTGTCCTGCTGGGCGGTTCCTGCCCTCTCAGGGAGGCTGGCTGGCAGCTGGCAGGTAGAAAGACTCCTATGTTCACCTCAGGGCAGAGGTGGGGACACAGGGCGGGATGGGCGAGGGTGGCGCACCTCTGGGGTGGGCGCTCTTGGGTCCGCCTTCCGACCCAGAGCGCGTGTCAACAGTTCCATCTGCCCCTCTCAGAACTGTCCTGGTTTAGGTGATAAACACACTGGGCAGCCTACATTCTACATGGCTTTTTTTTTAACATTATAAAAGCAGTATGTGTTATTACGGGAAATTTAACAGAAAAGGATATAAAAAGAAACCAGAAGTCACTCGGGAGTCTGAGCACTGTGCTCTCTGGGGCCTTTCCTTCCGGCCTTCTTCCTTCCAGCCCTTTCCCTGCACACTGGACAGAGTGACTGTCCAGGGTGGCCGTGGGGTTAGCACTGATTCTCTCTCGTAAGCACACAGGGTTATGATCGCTGTGCAGATAAGGAGACTACACGCGTGTCTCATGTCAGAAGCACCTGCGCCTGGCCTGGAGTGAGGCCTGAGGCCAGGCCCCATGTGGGGGCAGAATGGAGCTGCTACCCAGCCAGGGACCTCATCTAGGGATTGGGGACGGCAAGGGGCTGGTAAAGGCCAGAGGTTCTTCCAGGGCCACTCTGTGCCCTACCCTCAGGTGGGAAACAATGGTGGGGGCACTGCGCTTGGTAGAAGTCCCCAGCTGGCCTCTGGCCTGCCAAGTCATCCGTCAGATATGGAGGCAGGGGTGAGGTGTGCTGGGGAAGTCAATGAGCCCAGCCTCGCATCAGTGAGTCCCTGGGCCTTGGGTAAGGCAGGGCTGCAGGGATGGCAGTGAGGACGAGGGCCTCACCTCCCAGCAGCAGCCCTGCTTCACCTGTTTCTTGAGTTCAGTGTTCATAGACTTAAAAAAAAAAAAAATCTTGCTAAAAGGAAAAACAAACCAAAAGAGAAGTGGGGGCTGCAGAGCCTCATTCCCAGAGGGCTGCTCTGGCCCTAACAAGCGTTCTAGGCCAGACTTCCATGGGCAGGTCATGTGGGCAAGTGCTGAGCTATGGAAATCAAGCAAACCTCTCCACGCCTGTCCTCCAGGCCACAAACACCCCCATCTCCTGAGTCCGGGTAAGCAGAGGGCCACGCACGGAGACGGTGGCCCACGCTGGGCTGGGCTCCGTGCTTCTGGGGCCCCGCAACTCACACAGCAGAAGCCTGCACTGTGCTGCCTGCAGCGGGGGCAGAAGCCCGGAGCTGGTGAGCCTGTCTATGCCGCCTCAACCACCCTGGTGGGTGGGTGGCGGGGCCAGGCTGGGCCCCTCTCCGCACACTGCCGTACGGCCTTACCTCCCAGCGCTGTCGAAGCCTGAGCTGATGTGCTCAGAAGGGCCGGCTCCTCCATGGCTTCTAACTCAAGTGACACAAGGAGTGTCTCCCCACTGCTGTCCTGGGGCTCCTGGCCACAGCCAGGAGAGCCTAGCCCTAGAAGGGCTCCCCATGATGCAGCTGTGACCACGGGCAGGCCTTCTCCCATCCCCCAGCCTCTCCATAGCTCTGTGATGTCTGCTAGCCCCATTTTATCGATTCAGACCCCGAAGCTTGGAGGGGACAGAAGGGTCCAATCTATGTCCCTCTCAGCCCAGAGCTAATGCTCCTGTGAGCAGGAGGGACCTGCCGGTTCACCACACCCCACAGAAACCACACAGCTGACACTAGGCACTTGGGTATTGAACCAGGAAGCTTTATTTACACAGTAAAAGTAACAAGCAAATTCCTGAGAGACTAGAGCGGCTGGAGCGCAAGCCACGGCCTGTGCGGGGAGGCCAGGCTGCAGGGGCAGGCAGGCCCTGGGCCCCGGATCTACGCTTTCTGGTCGCCACACTTCCTGAAGCTCTGCAACACCCACAACATCCAGCTCAGGGAAGCTCCTGCAACCCCAGAAACAGCCTATGTGCTATCTGTCACCCAAGCCCCCAGGACAGCTTCCCCACGCACTGAAAACACAAATCATTTGCCAAAAAGACTACGCTAGGTCAGACTATCCTATCTAGGCTACAAGATCTCCACTTCGTTCTGCCATTAAAAAACAAAACAAAACAAAACCTTTCTCTTTTCTCTTTAAAGAGGCATGACAGAGGGGTTTGACCAACAGCGTGGACATGGCAAGGTGCGGCATCATTGCCAGTGTGGGGCCAGGGTGCCTGATCGGGGTGCGCGGCCAGCCTGCTGCATCCCTGCCGGCTGACGTCTGGAATGACCATCATTCAAGTGACCACCCCCCAATAGTCACAGACGGCACGTCAGTGGAAACGGGGGTGCAGCAGGCATGACACCACGGCCGAGCCCGCAGCAGGGGCCCAGGGGTCCCGCAGCTAGGGGAGCTTGCTCAGACAGGCAGCACACCCAGTGCATGGCCACTCACGCCCCTGCACCAGGAGACCCATTTGGAAGTTGGGGTTTGTTTTCTTTTTAATGTAGACTTCCCCTTTATTTAAATTTTCTTTCAGTGTACAAATTCACAAAACTGGCTACAAAAGTTTGGTTGAAAAGTAAGGCTTTCTGATAATGAAAATCTGTACGTCTGGTCAGAACAAGCTCCCCGTGGGCCTAGATGCACGTCTGTCCGTGCAACTCTGGCCTCCACCGTGAGTAAGGCAAGAGGGTGTGGCAACGAAAATGGCGAGGCTGTGGTCCCGGCCCCCAGGCCCCACAGGTGGACGGCAGCCCCTGGCAGTTTGGTGGCTTTGAAATGAGTGGGATGCACGTGGCGCTAAGCCCCTCCTCCCACTCGGCTTTCCTGTAGGCTTAGCTCGCTCTTCAGGGCCCACGAGCAGGCAGATGGCCTGGCACGGCTTGCTCCTGGCTCTGGCCTTCCTTGGTCTCCCCTCAGAGGCAGGGTTCGTGGGCAAGGCTGTGACAAAAGCGAGGCTCCTGCCGCTGCCCCCAGCTGGGGCCCTCATGCTAGTGGGGGTGAGCTGTCTGCCTGCTGCCCGTGGGGACACCAACGTGGGGGGCACCTCCTGGGCAAGCCTCCCTCCCAGAGGACTGAGATCAGAAGTCCTGGGGCCAGCAGGGTGGAGTGCAGGAACAGGCCGCTCTGGGCTGTGTGGCGGCTTGGATGATGGGGTGGCACCTTATAGACAGGGTCTACTCTCTCCAGTCAAGAGACAAACACGAAACCAGCTGAAGGCCATTTCTTTCTCTAAGCAGAAGGGACAGCCACCATCTTCTCCCGATTGCTGCGTGGTGGGCTCGGGCTAGGAGCGGTGGTGGCCCAGGACAGGCAGCTGGGCTAGGGGCGGCAGTGGCACAGGACAGGCAGGTGGGGTCTGAGGAGGCTGGGCCATTTCTGCCTAAGCGCCCGGAGGCTGGGCTTGCTGGTCAATGGGACCAGCTTGCAGGGAGGTGGGGAGGTGGCTGTGACTTGGCCAGCTCCACAGCTTGTCCCTCCCTGCCACCAGGCCTGAGTGGGGAGGTGGCAGGCAGGGTTTGAGGGCAGGTCACCCACACCCCAGTCCCATGACACATACCTGTCACCATGTGCCTCCCACCTCTACCCTAAGCAAAGGTAGCTGGGGGCTGCTGCACGCCTTAGCCTCGGCTGGCACCGTCCGCCTCCCTCACTGCCTCTGCCTTCCACAGGAAGGCCTGCTTTAGAGGCTGTGTGCCCTCGGTGGCCACACCGGCTGGGTGACGCCAGGACCTCCCGTGCCCGGTGATACTCTGGGAGTGAGGCATGGCCATGTGCTCTCCACATTCACCCAGCCACTGCCCCGGTCTCCTCTAAGAAGAATTTGCTCTAAGAAGACATGGTCTCCATGACCCCCAGGCAGGGACAGGCCAAGGTATCTCTGCTCAGAGCCACCAGTTCTTGGGTTTGGCTGTCCAGGATCACAAGGAGATGTGCCTCTGGCAGGAGCTACAGCGACCAGAGGCGAGCTGGTTCCCCCGCTCTGGGACCTGCCCAGTGCCCGGCATACCCCCATGTGCCACCCACCCTGGGATGGCAACAGCATCTCTCAGGGCCGTGGAGCTGGGGGCTTTCTGCCAGCTTCTTAGAGCTGATTTGTAAGAAGTGCCACCCACATATTGGGAACTTGAACCACCACCCTTTTGATGTAGTAAAAAAAAAGAAGGTTTAAACAAGGTTTCCCAAAAAGCAGCTTTCTTGAGGAGAAAGGCGAGAAGCATCTGGACTCGACCTGCAGAAGCAAGGCGTTCACTCGTCCATGGAAGACGAGTAAAAGCAAAATGACTACAAAAGTGCTTTTAACGCATGTCAGCTAACGCGAGGGAGCACACCAGTTATTTTTAGCCTTATGGGAAAATGAGCCACTTACTCCTAAGCCAGCCCAATTGCTATTGTCTGCAGAAGACGCCAAATTCACTAAAAGCCAGATTCCCATAGAGCAGAGCCCATGTGGTGGTGTCTGCAAGGTGGCGGGAGAGCAGCTACAAACCCGGAGAGGACAGCAAACCCTCAGGGGGCTAGGCTCCTTGGATGCCCCAGGGTGAGAAGCCAGGGCGGGGTAGGGGCGGGGAGTATCCGTCCAGCTTTGTGCCCATGGCTGGGCCTACGACAGAGATGCAGCCCTCAGGACTGGGCTCCCCCTAAGCTGACAAGGGTGGGGGTTTGTCTTGAGGTGGGTGGTGTGCCCTGGTTATAGCCAGCAGTCCTCAAGGACAAATGGGAGGCGCGTGGAATCCTGCAGGGCCTCTGCAGATTGGTCAGCGGACGCCCTTCACCCCTGAATGGGCACAGGGCCTGCAGCTGTCCACCTGCCCCCAGCTCCTGTCTCCCAAGGCCATTTTCAAGAGGCTGCCCTGGTATCGTGCCATCCCTACACTCACCAGAACCAACCACACTTATCACTCAGCGACCAGTCAACCACAGAGAAGGGCTGCCATCTGCTAACCCTGCCCCAGCGGTGGCAGAGCGATGGGGTCAGGCTCTCCATGCTGCAGGAGAGGCAAGAGAGTCCGTTCAGAAAACAGACCCACCAAATTTCTGCCCAACATGGAAGGCCCTAACATGCACCCCTCCAAACTGTTCCTTGGGCCCGAGACTCCGGACATGGGCTTACCCTCTGGGGGGCCAGTCCAGCACCCCAGGGATTCTGTCTCTCACATTGGAATTAAGGCCAAATGGTTCTGGTGTTACAGAAGGAAGCATCTCCCGAACCTTCCCAAGCCTGAAGCAGGGAGACCTGGGAGAGAAGGCACGGAGTAAAACTGAGTGAAAGAAGCTGCGGGACCGGCTCTCCAAAAGTGAACCTGAGCGAGGCCAAGAAGGGCCCTGACACAGCAGATGGCCCCTGGCCCCCAACCCAGGCCCCCCCTGACAGCCCCCACCAGGGGGATACAGAGCGGTGCCCAGCTCTGCCGGGGACAACAGAGACCGCCCAACATCCCAGGGGAAGAGAGGCAGAAAAGACGCAAACTCCAAGGCTGTCCTCTGGGCTGCAGTAGTTCTGTGGACCTGGTGGCTGCCACACTCGGGGAGCCGGTGAGAGGCTGACACACCCACTGTGTGACGCGGCCAGGCCAGGCTCTCCCCAAGGCAGCGGGTGGGCTCCCTCTCTGGGACCCGACACCCCACTCAGGAAACTTTCATCAGGCCCACGAGTTGGGCTTCCCTTCCAGGGCCCACCTAGTGCCCAAAGGGAGGGCTGTCGATGCCAGCGCACCCCAGCCCTGCCTGGGCCCACACGTCCCCTCAGTTCTTCTCTATCTGCTCGATGTCCAACTCGCCATCCAGGGAGCAGAGGCTGTTCCCGGGGACCCCGCGGTCCCGCCAGGCTGCGGCTGGCTCTGCTCTCCTGCCGCAATCCTCATCCAGGGCACAGCCGTCTGACTCCTCACAGGACAGGTCCTCCTGGCAGGCGAGGTGGTCGTCGAAGGAAGAGGGAAGAGGTTCAGGGACCGGGGTCCCAGCGGGGGTCCTGCCCCCTGGGCCGGAGGCTGAGAGCAGGGCGGTCCAGGCCCTGGTGTTGCTGACGTGGCGGGCGAAGGGGCTCTGGGGACCGCAGTCCTCTGTCCCTGCGCTCAGGCAGCTGAGGCTGCTGAAGGTCTGACAGTTCTGTGGAGGGGCAGACACACAGGTTACTAAGGGTTACTCCCCTCCCAGAGCCCCAGGACTGCACACCCCACAAAGCGACTGGACCACCAGGCTGTGGCAAGACCAATCGAGTCCCGGGTTCCTCCCATCCAGGCAAGGACAGGGGCCATGAGCAACGCACTCATGAAGATGCACCTCCGGCCAATGAGCGCTCTGTGCTCATAAAGACACGCTCAATTCCATTCTTCACCTACTAACTCGGCAAAGCACACAAATTTGATGCAGGCCCAGTTCTGGGGAGCTGCAGTGAAACAGAAATGCTCCTAACACTTCGTCCACAGCCTTTCTGAAGCGCAACCTGGGAAAAATGTATCCAATTCCTTGATCAGGTAATTTCACTACTCGGATTTGTGTGTTAAGAAAACATTCTAAGATGTGTGTAAAACTTCGGCAACATACTGTTAAACAGAAAAGAAGACAGCAACCCAAACGCCCTACGATGGTGGTGAAATCAATGAAGTTTTTCAGGCAGGACCTCTATGCAAACATAACTGACGCACCGCGATGCTCCCCTTGAGAAGAGATCTGACTCGGAGGAAACGCCAGGCTGTACTGACAGACAGGGTGACACGACGCCCACTCTACCGCACTCTCCACAACCAGAGTGGGAGACACAGGCTAGAAGGGGCCGAGCTGAAGTCCTGAGCCTCGTGTGTAATAGAGTCATGCAGGGAGCTGGGGAAACATGAGTTCTCAGCCTCACCTGGAGACGCCGAGCCTCTAGAAAGGAGTGGCCCCATGCCCTCCACAGGTGCTGGGGCCTGGGGGGTCTGAGCTGCTGAGGAGAGGCCAAGCTCCAGGTTCTAGTGCTCACCAGCTCCCTGCCTGCCTTGCTGGGCCCCTTGAGGCCCCAGAGAGAGAGAGTAGGCTACACAAAAGCTTCTCCGCCCACCAAGTGCTCCCTCTGTGTGGGGCCTGGCCTGGGGCAGGAGGCAGCCTGGGGCCTTCTCCAGTGGCAGGTATAGCTTGAACAGGATGGATTTCAAGGGTACGCAAGCCGGTTCTGCTTGGCGTCAGCTGCCAGCGATGGGGGCAGGGCTGACACTGTGCACAAGTGTGTGCAGTTCAACACCTGCTCCCAGGACAGAGCACAAAATCCAGCCTTCTCCTCAGAATGATGCACACTCCACAGTCCAGCCACAGACAGGACGGAGGCTGGGACAGTGAGGGGCACTCCCAGCCCAGTCCTGGATATCCCTAACAGGACTGCAGCAACAAGGTCACATACCAGAGGGGAGCGAGGGAAGAACTGCACACACAGGGCAGGGGGGAATTCCAGCCTTTGGTCTCTTCCCGGCAGACGGGTGGACTGTGGGAGCAAAGCAGGGCTTGGAGCACCCGCCGCCTCCCTCGCCGCACGCCTGCCGACGCCACGACCACAGACCTGTCCCGAGGGCCTGATCCTTTCAAAGGCTGCAGTGTTTGTGTGTCTCTTTGAAATACAGGTGACCACCGGCTGTCACAGCCAACAAGCTGTTGAACCAGCCTCAGCAAACGGGAAATCAAAGGTGCTCTCTCTGGAGGAAGGTGTATGTGCCTGCCATGGGCACGCTCATTGTTCCTGAACACTCCATGGAGGAAGCCGTTCTGATGGGTTTGCTTTTCTTGACATCTTTTGATTAGCTGAGAAAGGTGAAGGCTGAGGTGCTGCAGGGAGCTCTGCACGGGGACTCAGGAGAGGGGCAGGGGCACCCATTAGACTGAAGATGCTGGCCCAGGCCGCTGAGGGAGCCCCGTCCCTGCAGCTGGCCCCCCACGGAGCCACAGGTCCACCCTCTGGGCCATGGTGGGATTTGACACAGCCCAGTGATGTGCACACAGCACACTCCCCCAACCGTAACAGAGGGCTGGAGACGGCAACCCCTGCACAACAGCCCCAGGATCCTCGCCTGCCCCTGGTCAGGCCTTGGCGATGGACCAGCACCCGGGATCCTTGCCTGTCCCCGGCCAGGCCTGGATGATGGACCAGCACCCAGGATCCTCACCTGCCCCTGGCCAGGCCTGGACGATGGACCAGCACCCAGGATCCTCGCCTGCCCCAGGCCAGGCCTGGGCGATGGACCAGCAGCTCCCAAGGCAAACCTGCCGCTTGTAAGGTGGAGGCCTCAGTGCTTTCGAGGGGGAGGGTCTCTGAGGCTCCTCCTGCTTCTCAGCCACCCTCTTGACTGGCCTAGACCTGAGCCAGGACAGAAGGAAAACTGAGTAGGGGGCACAAAACAGGGGCAAGAAGGCCCACCCTGGGTGACCTCAGCCATGTGTCCCAGGCTCTGCTGAGCCAGGCTGCCCCGACAGAGGAGGCCTAGGATGAGACCAGGATGCATCCGAGCCTGAGGTCCCCAGGGAGCCAGACCCACCCTCTCCCAACCCTGAGCAGTCTGTTTCTTGGCCTGTATAGAAGCCGTGGTATGTAAGAATAAATAATCACGTCCAGTCAAGGCCACAGCAGCCTGGATGATGTGCTGTGAACAGGTTCTAGGTGGGTGTCGGGTACTGAGGCTGACTGCCTTGGGTGTCCGCCACATCTGCTGAGACCAGTGTGCTTGACACCCGAACGCGTGCTCGCGTTTTCTGCGAGCTGTCATGTGAAGGGCCTGGGACGTGGAATGCTGCGAGTGTTTTCTGTGGCGTCTCACGTGAACAGAGCAGGAGCGCAGCCTGCGCACTCGGACAGAAGCCGCACAGCGCTTGTCTGTGCTCACCTTCTCGGTCCTGCTCGGAGCTTCCCACTGACCGCCCCTGGCATAAGATGCAAGTGGCAGGGGTGTCTAACTTATGGCCACCATGACTGTGTGGGTCTGGGCACTAATCGTGGTGCTACGGTCTAAATGTGTGCCCCCCCGCCCCCCGCCCATTCCTATGTTGAAATCTAAGCCTCTGTGCAAAAGTATAAAGAGGTGGGGCCTCTGGGAGGTGATGAGGTCATGTAGGGGCCTTCACAGATGAGATGAGGGCTCATAACAGAGGGAGTGCAGGTGCCTCTCTCGCCAGGTAAGGATGTGAGAAAGTGCCAACTATGAAGAGCAGGCCCTCACAAGACCCCAAGCCTGCTGGCACCTGGATCTTGGACTTCCCAGCTTCTAAGTAAGAGAAATACATTTCTGTGGTTTGTAAGTTCCCCAGTCTAAGGCATCTTTGTCACAGCAGCCCAAACAAAGTAAGACATGTTATGCGTTAGCCACAGCCAGGCGCGGGCGCTGGGGACCCATTAGCTGGACCCGTCACAGATGTGTGGCTTTGGCCTCACTGTGCTCTGGAAGGGGCTGAGGTTAGACAGGCAACACGGAGGCAGACTCCGTCCGTATGGGCATCACGGTGCCAGGCAACTCTTCCACCTCTGGGCGGCGGCCGGCCTGCCTGCCAAGTCAGGGTGTTCAGGGCTCTCTGGACCAATTGGGCCCTTTCTGCTGTGATGCAGGGGGAGTCTACAAGGAAGGGCTGGTGAACCTCATCACAAGCAAACCCCAGAATGCCACTCAGCCCCCAATATCTTTAAATATATCAGCTCCTTGGCCACAAAGCCAGCGAAACCTTGAGAACTCTGTTGACTCAAAACAGCCATTTCAGCCACAGTGAGAGAAAGCCAAGAACCACCCACTGTTTGCCCCAGCTGGTGGCGAGCCCCACCTGTCAGGAAGGAATGTGACTGCCACAATGGGGCGGTGTGTGTTCTGCCCAGAGCCCCACCCCTCGTGAACAACCCCCAGGCAGACACCCAGGGTGTCTGTGCCCTGTGCCCTCCGTGCCCCGGGGGCAAGGTCCCGCCCAGCATCTCCTAGCAGCTCCAGCTACCCCATGGAAGAACACTGCATAGGCAAGTTGGAAGCCTGGAGGCCTGTGTGCCCTCAAAAATGTCTGCAAAAAGCTGCAAAATGGCTAAGTTCAAAGTGCCGTATGAACACATTATTCCAAGGTGAAACTGCTGCTCCAGGACCAATGTCACTGTCCCCCAGCCCGCCGACTTCTGCTCTCTTGACATCCAGTCCCAGCTCTGGGCTGGGCCACCTACTCTGGCACAGGCCTGCCCAGGTAAAAAAGCTCAGTGGAAACTGTCCACATGGCCTCAGGCTAGTGGCCAGGGACATGGATCAAGACCTACTCCTAGAGTCTGCAAAAGGCAGACCACAGCAGCCTGCCAGAGAGGCAACTTTGGGATGGAGGCCCTGCCTTTTCCATCAGACCCCCCTAGACCTCAGCTCTAGACACGACAGAGGCCCTGGCCATTCCTTGGCCATTCCCACCGACCCCAGCCGGGGTTTCCTGCTCAGCCCGCCCCAGCCGGCCTCCCCAGGGCTTCCCAGCTAGGAGCAACGACCCTTCTTCTGCAGGGCTCTTCTGTGCAGATATTTATTCCTATACTTTCTCCTGAGTGGGAGGTCCCTGGCTGGGCACGGGGATACAGACGAAGGTGGCCTGGTCCTTGCCTTCTAGGTACAAGCTGAAATCCAGTTCCGCCTCAGCAAACTCATTGACTCAACATATCAGCTCTGTACTGCTGCCAGGCAGACCACCACTCACTCTGTCCAGCCTCAGCCCAACAAGTTCATTCCCTCTGCCAGGTGCTGCTGTTCCTGGGCCAGCAGGGTGAACACGTAGTAGAGACTCTAGAAACATCTCCTGAGCGGAACTAAACCACATGTTTTATCAGTAGTGACCGAGAACCCACTCTGGGCTGCAAAGGGCAAGGTCTGGGGAGTGGAGGGGAAACAGCCCCAGGATTTCTCCAGGGACTGCTGCCTGGGGCCTGGGAGTCCCCAGAACTCATGAACTACACCCCCACATGCAGGAGTGGGCATCCGGTGACAAAGACAAAGCTGGCTGGTCAGGTGATGTGTCTGGGAGCAGACAGTGACCACTCCCCTTTGTCCTGGTTGTCTCCTCCAAAGGAGGCCGGGGCATTCTCATCCCCTGGGCCCTGGCTCTCCCCAGAACCTGGAGGGTTCCGGAGAGGAGAGTGGGGAACT